TACGTGAAAGAGCGAAATTTAGGTGCATTAATTTGCGGATATTTATTACGCCGTAAGGTTGAATTTATTAAAATGTATTCAATAATTCAACCAATTACGTGCATAAACAACGCGCGAACGGATAAAATAACATTTTCGAAATCGATGGTAAAAGCTTTGGGTGTTCATCAAAAATTCGCTGGGCAAATCTGTTCCGTCATCCTTTAAGTACATCCTTTTAGAACCTTTTTTGCGATAGTTTCGGGAGTATGAAGGCGGCGAAAACACATTTTTTCTGCCCCATCAAATGAAGACGAAGGGAAATTTATCGAATCTGTGTCAGCGCTTACGTTAAAAATGCCAATCGAAGAAGCCCCTATGATTGATAAACCTCTATCTTTTATAATCGATAGCAAAAGACTAAAGATTTTTATTTGGATCAGTATTAAACGAAAATTAGCACAAATATCTTAAATTTTACGAATTAAATAAAACTTTAAAAACCTATTGAACATGTAAATTTACTAATACAATTGGAACGGTGAGTCTTAAGACTTGGAATTTGAAAAAAACTTAAGTAGGTATTTTGTTAATTAACGTTAGGAATTTAGGTATTTCTTCGGAATTTTAAAACTAGCTATCGTTGAAAATGTATAATGAAAATCTGTACTGGTGACGAAAAGCTTGTTTTTCTAACTCGGCTAGGTATTATACTGTTTTTAATTAAAATTCAGCGTACGGCTTTGCTGAGTGCATGAAAATTAAAAATATACTTCACCGACCTTTTTGCTACTACTATAACGTATACAAAGGAGTATTGAACAAAATGAAGTACGACATTATTCATAGGAATAATTACACCGAAGTTTTTTATTAACAAACTTTATCGATTACAAATAAAAAAAGTAGCATTTCATAAAAGTGTGGTTAATTAACACGTTAGATTATACTGTTCCGGGCATGCATCAACGTTATTTAATTAAAAAAGGCGAAAAAATACGATACTAAAAATTTGCACGTAAGCACACTGAAATATGTATTTAGTGGATATATTCCCGGAAATGTTGAAGAACTGGGGATTTCAGTATACAATAAAATAGAAGCTACTCAATATTCAAGACGAATACTGGTTATGGATGCGTTTAGGCGGCGTTTGACATAAAACAGCATAAAAAATAAACCGCCTAAGAAGAATATAATATCAGTGTGTATGACGAGTAAACTTCAACCACTCAATCTTTCCGTATAAATATGAAAATTGATTATCGGAACGCATGAAAATATAATAAAGGAGAAGAGCTTTCACAATTGCAGGGTGGATTTCTATTACCTGGAATGAATTGATAAAATACCCATCGGAAGATTTTTATGTACCTTTAATCTTTACAGTCTCTTTGGAGCTTTTAGACAAATCGTCCTAAGGGAAATTTATTTTCCTAAAAATTATTCCATTCACGTTCAGAAATGTCCCGTACGATTTTCGTGCGTGCCATGTTCGGATTCGTCTAATGGCATATGCAATTTGTGTTACTTTGCATTTACGATCAAAAAGTTGCTGCATTGTATGTACACCTGATAGAAAAGTGATTGATCGAGAAAGTAATGTGACGTGCGGTATTTTCGCCGGGTAAATGGTTATTCGCAACGTATATTGTAGTCATCTATCTAAGGTGCACTCGATGTACGCCCTTAATTCGAGGTCGGAAGGTTAAACGTATCGGTTTAAGGGTCACAATTTATATTTTCGAATAGCAACAACCGCAGAGAATTTATGTCGGACCAAAATTACGTCTTCGGCGAGCTTTAAATTAGCAAGGAACGACCGAAATTTATGTGGATATTAAATCATTTTTAAAAAGCAAACCCTTACAAACCAACCCGGAACCGTGTAAAAAATGAAACAGCATTTAAAAATGACGGTTGCGTGAACATTCACCCTCAAAATTTCACGAAAGCATAATGAAACAACGAACTTTTCCTTCCATTTTAGTCGTTTTGGGGGATTTTAAGAGACCTGTTTGTTTCCGATTTGTATCACCTTATGTACAGTGCTTTAAGTTATCAGACATCAGTAGGCAATCAAAGGTAATGAGGACCCGGAGGTCTACAAATTATCCGTTACCGAAAGTTCCCTAAATCTTGGAACTTTATTATTCTCAGACGGTGGATTCGAGTTCAGCCCCTTTTACGTCCATAAGACGTTAAAACTGATAGTCTCTAAACCTGACTAATGACGAATATTTTACCCCGAGAGACATCAAGGGGTTCGTACTTAGGAAGGTAGTTAGAAAGGCAAATACGACAATGTCTAAATTCTAGAGTTTTAGAATGAATTACTTATTCATCCGTACATTATTCATTTTTTATTGGAAAAAATCCTTACAATTATTAACTGATCGGTGAATAATATAAAGAATCAGCGTACACAAAATCCCTGCGGTTCCTGCTGCGCTCTACAGCTTATAAAGAGCCACATTCATCATTTCTTATTTAGGGAATCTTTCGGGTTTATGAATATGAAAAATGGGAAACGATATCTCAATAATGGATGCTATGTAAATCAAAAATAATTAATCGTTCAAATTTGATTGATTAAAAGCACTAAATGCAAAATTCATTGGTAAAATGCGCAATTAATTCTTCTCTGACAATCGATAAAAATGTAACATGTTAATAATTTTTACTCTGCCGGAATTCCATATCCGTTGAAACATTTTTCCTATAATCATAATTTAATGTACGTCAGGTAGAAATCAGAACCCAAATACATAATTTAAATAAACAACATGAGTAAAATCAACGACTACATACAACACCGATTTTCTAAAGCTATTTGTCAGTACTCAATCTTTCCTATATGTAGGTATTTCCCATATTTTTCCACCTAGCGTTTTTCCATTATGACGATAAAAATCTCACGACAGTAGGCATTAAATAGCAAGGAAACGATTATATCAACTGGGTCACATGGCGTATAAAGAAAAAATATGACTACATACATAATAAACCAATGTTGGAAATATGAATGCAGCAGAATTTATTATAACCTACTACGGAGTTTAACAAAATAAATACATAAAGTACACAAAATGGTGGTGCTAATGATAATTGTAAATTTTGTTAACATACAACCTTTATTTTTCATGAAATTAATCATTTAACAGTGCTACCCTTATAAGGTATGATACTCCAGAAACCCAGAAAGAATGAGATATAGCCAAATAATGAAATAATAGGGTATCAAATAGGCGAGTACTCATTATGTTGTCAAATAATTTCGCTTTGATGCGCCTATTAAGTTCTTATCATAGTCGGAAATCTTTAATTTTTTTTCATGTATAATTAGTTTGACGTGATACCTTATTCATGGTGTTTTCCAAACTTTGCTTTTTAAGGTTTTACTTTCAAAAGAGATTTAAAATTCATTTATGAATACTAAAAATATAAAATAAAGTTTGTCTTAATCAGATAAAATAAAATAGAACTTATTATTGATTATTAAATCAAATATTTATAAAAGATATGACAAAAAGGATTTTTGTTATAAGAATATTAAATCTATAATGAAATAGGTGCTTAACGATTTTTTTAATTACATTTCCTCGGCAATCTAGGTACTGAAAAATTAAGCGAAAGTTTTGTTTTTCTTTAGAGTTCGTCGAATATAAACTACTTTACTTTTAAAGAAGTAATTACAGGAAAACTTATTGCGTTAAAATTGTTTTAGAGAGTTTTCCTCACTTTAACAACTTAAGATTAAATGCATAGAAGTTTTCGTTAGTAAGGCAGATTAAAAGATTTATTCAATTATTATAACGCAAGAATAATCCCTCCATATCAAATTTAAGTAAAAGTAAATAGCGTAGTATCGAACACGGATAGGATAGAACGATGAGATTTCTCAGTTTTTGATTGATTACAAAGTTGTGCATTTTAAACTTGTGGTGATTAATTACTTGTTTAGGCATAAGATGAATCACAGAAGTTGAATTTGTCATTCGTCTTTTAGACAGGAAATCGGAAAAATACGAGCAGATTTTTAAAATAGGTACGACAGCCATAGGGAAATGCGTTGGCGAATTTAATTGTATAATGCTCGATTTTTAAATTAAATCTATTCTATTTATCGATTGATATACGATATACATACCTACACATGTACAATTATTAATATAGGTATAAGGGTGATTTGTCGGAAATTCATAATTACCCAAACAGCGATTAATTTCTAAATGTTCTTGACATTATATAGGTATTTATGTATTAGTAGGTATTACTGATGACAAATGGTCAATAATTTCCGTAGTAATAATTTTTCTAACTACATTAAAATGGTGAATGGTGTGTACACCAAGTTAAGACTCTTGTATTTACTTCCATTAACTCCTTAATCTACTTTTAATACGTTTTGCAGAAATGAATTATTGTTCTTTACACAATTATGGTTACTAAGTAAAAATATACTTAAAAATGTGTACTATATTTTACCAAAAATACTGAATCTAAGGATGTATAATATTGGAATTCCTCCAGCATAATTTTAAATTTGATTCACATTATATGTAGGAAATTCTTAGTGAAATTACAATTTATAATAAAGTTTATACCACAATTTTAAGGACGTAGAAAATAAAAATTGTAGTTGTTTCTTCATTATTACTAAGAATATATTAAAAAAATTAAAATAAACCTATATGGTATAACAGTATAACGTATAACAGCAAAATTCCTCCGCCAAAAATTTTAAATCTGTTATAATTAAAATACCTACCTAAAAAAATGGAAAAAATCTATTTTCAAGCAAAGGTTTTATGAGCAGACTTTGGGTGTAAATACACTCGAAAGCCTCTATTATAGAAGGTATAAATATTAAAGTAGATGAAATAGTAGTAAAGTAAAAATTTACCATAATATAGATAGTAAAATGTTCTTAAATGTGGTGATGTGAAGTGTGTTTTAGAGAATGACATGCTGAACAAATGAAAGGAAAAATGTTGAAGTAAAAGCAAGTGCATTCGAACCACTCAGCGGCAATCAATCCGAAAGAATCCAACCACAATGTTTACAACAAACTATTTTTGGCACGAAAACGTAACACACGTGGTTTGATTGAGATGACAGCTCGAGTACGTTACATTCGGACAGAGTCAACTCCCCGACTTACAAGAACCGTTTGCGAAACAAGAGCGGTCGGTTTCCAGTGCCCGACAGGAAAATATCGCAATCGAAAAATTCCCAGTTCAATTCGAATCGAAAAATTCTCGGTAATATCGGAGAGACGGTACGCGCAAAATGCAAGTCGGCCGAATGCTAACTGGTTGATCTACTGGGCGCTGCAGACCTGCGCCCCTAAAGCCGTCCCTCATATTGATTTGTTCCTTCCACCCCGCGTCGCGCTTTTTACACATCCACGATGAGGCGAACTGCTCTGCTGCCCGCGCTCTTCTCGCCGCACGGCACAGCCGTTTGTTGCTTAAAGCTAATGTATAAACTTGTGGCGTTACTATATTATTCGTTGAACACCTTCCCTGAAGTATTCTTTTACTTTAAAATGCTCTTTGTCTAGTTGCTACAGTGAGAAATCATTCAAAATGATCCTATTTTCCAAACCAACATCGCTATCCACGTACTAAACTCCCTATCGAGCAATGAGAAATTTAGAGCAATGAATAAATTATATGAATTAATGTTAGCACCTATCCACTTCAACTATAATTTCTCCACTAAATAGAGTTGTATGTAGTACATTTTCCCTTTGTAACTAAATATATTTTGTCTTAAGTATGGTTTAAAAAAGTAATTGATAGAAAGAATATCCGAGCCTTTCGTGGAAAATTCATTTAGAATAAATTATTAAAAGCATCTGTCTACATGAATATTATAATATTTACACTTAAAGAGTGGTTGTAGTACATTCGCAATTTTTATACAGGTTTTTCCACGGTATTCGTGCATTAGAACTATTCGGAGTTTATTTAAAAAACAACTCGTTGGATATAGGGAATACCTATATGCATCGAAAGAGCTTAAAAATATCCATTGCCAATGATTAAAAATGCAAGGTGATTCATTTGAAATAATAAAATTATGACCACTTTAAGCCAATTTTGTTAGACAATTTTAAACGCTCTGTATATGGACCATGCTTTTCATTTGAAATAACGAAGTTGACATCTACTTCTGGAAGTCACATATGGTTGAAAATATTTTAGAAAAACTCAAAAATTGAATATACCTTATTCCTAAATTTTCAGATTCGTAACTCTTCAGGATCTCCGAAAAGTTCTAATGCACGGTGCAAAACCCTGTATATGTACCTAACAATTTTTGTCTTATAGTATGATTTAAAAAATTAATTATTAGAAGGAGTATCAGAATCTTTTGAGAAAAACCCATTTAGTGATGAATTGCTTTGATAAATTTCGTATCCAATCTTCGTGGAAACGGAAGTATAAAACGAGCAATCTGGTCTCTGGTTACAAAAAAAATGCACAAAACAACCAGTTCGTTCACTTTGTTCCAATATTATTTATTATTTTTCTCGCGAACGAATAAAATATCGGTTTCTAAAGAATTAACAATAATCACTGTTATACAGAAAAATTCGTTAAATCCTGCACGCAATCTACCGAGCCTGACGGTGTATTCGTGAATAAACTTACATAGACACCGGAATGGATTTCGTGCTTCTTCCTGTTTACTCGTTTGTAATTCCAGCGAATTCATAACCGCAAAGTGAACATCGATATAATTGCACCCTACATTATTAAGCAAATTTTTTGTTGGATAGCACGATTGCAAAAGCATTAATTAATTATGAAAATCAGTTATTTGAAGTGGTACCTACAGCTCAAAAAATGTATTAAAACCGATAAATACCGTTTGATTATTTGTATAAAAAGAAAGCATTAAATCTATCCCTTTGAAATTCACCTATACAGAAAAATCTGCACAAAAAGAAAAAAACTTCATAGTCAATTAGTACGAATGCTAAAATTACGGTGTTAATACCGCTAGTGTAAATCGTCGTTACGTAGGTACAAATTAACTGTTACACATCATTTCTGATGGATTAAACTTTATAACGGGTTTAAGTTTTTGTTTTGAACTGCCTCGAAACGCCGGTGTTATGTGCAAAGAGAATAAAACGGTAGAGGAAACTTTGAATTTCCCGTCGCTTTGGATGCCGATTTACACTATTTACATCTGTACACCGCACTCGAAATGTCTGTAAATAAAACGAAAGATTCCACTTATTTCGACTTTCGGTCACATATTATACCGAAATTGGACATTTTATCTTTTTCGTCGTGTCACGCTGCAAAAGTTACGAACGAAACCAATTTTAAACAAGATATTAGGGATATGATAAAACGAGTAGATACGTAAAATTTGCCATATCTACATTTCTCGCGAAATTGCGCACTTTTTATGAGTTAAATTGAGCCAAACGAATTGTTTACTAACGACACATGGGTTTTTTACATTGTCAATTAAATTTGTCCCATATACTGTACTCTTTCATAGCTGTTGCCGGCCTTTGAGATCTACAGAAATTCGCGTTTTTTGTCGAGCTGCTCAGGTTCGCAGAGAACAGGAGAGCCAAACAAAAAGGATAAAGGTCAAAGGTGAGAGTCCTTTGAAACATTAGGCAAAGTGAATAGTCGTGTCGGAGGATCGGATGAAATTTAATAAAATCCCGGAAAGCAAGTATTTTTTTCTTATTGTGTCAATTTACGGATTGCCGCGGAGGATTAAACGATTCAAATCGTTTATATAAAAAAACATTTTCTTTAATCATAAATCACACAAACAATTGTGACAGCGTGATTATTATCATTTGCCCCATTTTATTATTTGTACTAATAGTTATAGGCTCGCAATTAGTTGCCTCATATTAAACGGCAAGTCATGGAATGACAAAGTGACAAAGTCAATTTAACTTCTCATATACGACGAACTACGACTGTTTCGAATTAATGGCGGTTTCCTTCTTAGGGCCTCGGTCTTGCCGCCGTTTCAGGAAAGGTTTCTCCTCTCGCTTCCTGCCATTTTGTCAAAACATCTGCTCGGAAAACTTTGCCGCCAGCAAGAAGTTGCGCTTCAATAATTCCTTGAATACTTAAGCATCTCCGGCGTTTGTGTATACGTAAAGAATTAGTTCGCTAGTGGAAATCCGGCGTTTACATTGTTTATTTGTGGGTAAGTATATACAGTAATTTATTTATCTTTTTTTTTTCGTGTAAAATTAATACAGCTTGGTATAAGCTGTAGGGTGATATTGGATTTATCAAAGTGAAGAGTTTCTAAAATTAGCCTTTATTACATTAATAAATTAGTTTAGAACCATTATTGTTTTTATGCACAAAATTGTAGCTACCTACTGAATAAAATTATGCAGCTAAATAAATTACCCAACCGGAATGGGAAATAATCTTACTAATCGGAACTAATCAAGAAGAGGATATGCATAGTTAAGCGTGTAGTTTTTATTCCATTCATAAACCATTAGATCGTTATCGGAAAATCTGACCTTTATTGTAATTTTTGCAATTAAATGTGCGTGGAAAATGAGAAAATTTAGTTATGACAATAATAGATTCTATGCGATTAAATTATTCAAATTTCATATTATTCAAATTCAATACACACAATTGAAGAAATAAAATTTATATGAATTAATTAAAATATCGCCTATATTGTATAATGTCATAAAGATATAGATACCAAATTTGAACAAAAAAGATACAAGGTGGAACCATGACAAACAATAAAATCAACCCCTCATATCAGTTTGGATTTTATTACAGATTATTCTTCAAGACAATTTCTCATATTTCCCCCGAGTTTCATAATTTATGCAATGCATTCTGTCGCAACGAAGTTTCTACATAGCAAAACAACAAATCATGAAGTATTATATAAACGTAAAGCATATGCCTCGGCTTTTTCTATACCACAATCCCGAGAGCTTCAGGAATCTATCTAGTTCCACAAGCAAACTTCGAAATATACAGTGGATATAAGTAAATTCAAAGATCGTAATTACTGCATAGGCAGTGCAATTAAAAATCTCCCATCTGGTCGCTGGCGTTGTTATTGTTCGCGTGACTTTTATTTCATTCTGCGGCATTGAATTGATGAAAAATATGTAAATATTCATGAAAATAAGTACAAAGAGGAGCAACCACAAAAGACTCGAAAAACTCTTTAAGTCCTTTTACAAAGAGTCGCATCTTTTCGTGACGTTATAATTGAGAATAAACGGGGAATACTTTGAATTCCTGCTCGAATTTTCAGCTACGTGTTACCAAAAGCAATTAGTAATTTTGCTATATTATGAAGGAATGTGTTCGGAATATTTCCGAGTTTTATAAAGACATCAGATATTCTTAAAAAAGTATGTATCTAAAAGGAGAATGTAACTGCAGGCTTCTCTTGCGAATCTCTGCAAGTTCTAGTAAGAATAATAGAAGACGAAAAATTTCATATAATTAAAAGAAGCATACATATTGCATTTCTCGAACGAACAGCGGAGCAAAGCAAAGACATTTTCTAGGTCAAACTCATAATGATAATAAGGGCGTTTAATTTGTCGACTTGGAAATTGAGATAAGGACCCAGAAAGTCGAGAATAGCAGTCACCAGGCGTTCGCATTCGTGGCGAATGGCGTACAATTGCGTGCTTTGCGGTCGCCTTGATTGACGGATAATTTTATGCTTAGCGTTATATTTAATTCCCAATTTTATGCCGACGGAGCGATCACAAAATGCGAGCAAACGTTTCTCGAAATAAGAAAGGAAAAAATACGAAAAATTTAATTTCGATTGAATTCGAACAGCCAATAAATTTATTAGAGGGAAATAGATTGCGGCGTCCGGAGCACAATCAAGGGCAGCGTACATGAAATACGGTCTCCACTGCATGTAGCTAAAATAGGGCGGCAGAGTGTGAAGGTGTTGTAAATAATTCGTTTACCATCAGTCGACGTACGAGGATTATGATTAAACATGGATACCGCGTTGATTAGGACGCCACAGTGACACACACACTATGGATACGCCATCACCAGCCCATTCAGCAGCATGCATTAACCACGCCGGCGAGCTTTACCCATTAGATGGTGCTTAAAAGTTGCGAGATGTATCTAAACCGCGTACGTAACGATAATTAAATGAACTCTAATTCGAATTTATCCAATAGAAAAATTTTAATGAATGCTCTAGTGCCTAAATCAAGGTTTTTAAAGTTAATGAATACTTATCATTTTGGAAAAATTGTGTGTAATATGGAAAAATAAAGATCTTAGGG